CCTGCGGTGTGTGTGTGTGTGTGTGTGTGTGTGTGTGTGTCACAGGCACACTTTGGTGCTGCTGGGAAGGAGTGTGAACTGGGAGAGAAAGGCGGGGGAGTCCTGAGACATGGGGTCCAGATGAGTCAGGCCATTGAGGTGAGGAGCTAAGAGCAGAGGGATTCACGGAGCCGCAGGAGAGGGGAGAGGGCAGCTGCAGGCCTCCGCCATAGCCACACGAGGCTGCCCCGACCTGCTCTCCATGTTCCCACACCCTGGCAGCTGTCAAGGTCTCAGAAGCCAGCAGAGCCGCCCATCAGCAATCATGACAACAGGAGTCCTCGGTCTCTGAGCCTCTGGCAGCCGATTTTCAGGCTCCCCTCCTCACCTCCTGGGCCCCAAGCCCCTCCTGGCCCTGTGAGCCTCCCGCCTTCTCCTCCTTCCGCAGCTGCCCTCCCACTTTGCAGGCCCCACCAGCCGTCCCAGGGCTGGGGCCGAGGAAGTCCCTAGGCTGAAGTTCCCTTCGTCTCTTTCAACTTCAGTTTAAAAGGAAATACAAAGCTGGCTCAAACCTCAGTGCCTGCTGCTCCCAAGCCTTTGAATCCACGCTGCCACCACATGAAAGGCCGATAACAAAGGTGGCTGCAGAGGAAGTGACGGCTGGGCTGGGGGAAGACGGCTCCCCCCTTTGCCTCCCTGAACCTGCTCCCTGGGCAGCCTGGGGGACTGGCCAGGCTGCTGGACAGAGTGCCTCCTCTCCCTCCCACAAACATCTCCTCCAGCAGCCATCACACCACCTGATGGCCCACCATAGCACAGCCACTCCTGGGGGGAGTGGGTCCCTGTCGGAGAGCAGCTGGAGTAGCACAGAAAGGCCACATCGCCGCCGTGCCACCGGAGGAGGAGTGCGAGGGACTCTCACCCATAAACATTTACAGTGTTTACCCAATACACATTCAGGACTGGTCGCGTTCTAGCAATTACTTTTCTCGAATCATAATCAGTAACAGATCAGCACCCATTTTACTTTGGGAAAATTGAGGCTCCGGAAGTTAGAAGACGTGCCCAAGGGTGTGCAGTGACAGAGCTGGGATTTGGACCAAGTCTACCCGGCTCCCAACATAGTGTTGCTGTGTGGGCCCCCTTCCCCTGGTACCCGCTGCTCTCTGCGCCCACCCCTGTCCCACCCACCAGTCCCCAGCTACTGACCGTGGGGAAGAGGAAGACTGGTCACTGGGCCAGAGACACCCCCACCGCTGAGCTGCATTCCGTAACCCCTGCCCAGCCCTCACCGGGACACTCATCAGAGGGGAAAGGCATGGCTCCCACTGCACAGTGCTGGTGGGGGGATTACGTAGGAAAGGCCAGGAGAGAACTTAGCCCAGTACTTATAAGTGCTCAGTTAGTGGGACCTATCGATCTTGACTATGCACGTCACTTACGCACCGACTCTGTGCCAGGTACTGTACAGTGACGTGCTCACTGAATCTTCCCCCTAAGAGGTGTCGAGTCTGCTGTATCCCCAGTATGTGGACAGGGACACTGAGGCTCAGAGAGGTGAAGCCATTGGTCCAGATCTCCAGCCCCAGCCTGTCTGACTCCAGAGCCCAGCTCTCACCCACTGCCCCTCAAGTCATAATTCCTTGGTGCCTGGCAGAGGTTCCGGGGGCGGGGGACAGCGATGGCCCCAAGGTCACAGAGCAAGTCCATGTGCGGCCAGGGCTCCCCCCCAGGCCTGTGCAGTGCCAAGGGTCCTGCCCTCCTGCGCCTCGGGCTGAAGCATCCATTTGACTTCCACAGAAGCAGGGGATGCTCAGGGGTCACCATGCCCCGCCTGCTCTGGGTGCAACAAACGTAAGGTGACTAGAATCAGAGGGGAAATATTTATACACAGCGGCCGAGCTGCGCGAGCCCCTCGGAGAGCAGCGTGGGAGGGTGGGAGCGCCGCCTGTCACACTGGATTACCTCCAGACTCCCAGGCCACTTAGTATGCTGTCTCACCGCTCCATTCCACCCATGCCGACGCTCCTTCCCTGACATTATCTTTAACGTTTTGTAATCATGAAATATTAATGACCGATATTGAATTTAAAGTACAATTTGTGTCTGAATCCTTCGGTGGAAAGGGCAGTTGTAAAGGGACAGCCTTCAAAGAGAGGGGGGTGGGGTGCCGGGGGCTGCATCCGGCTCCCTCCTCCGGGGTCAGCAGGCCCTAGGCTGGTCCGGAGGGCAGGCATCTGTGCCCAGGAGAGCCAAGCCTTCATCATTAGCCAGACGCTGCCCCATCCGACTCACCCCAAGCCAAGTCGCATCTTACGGCACCCCATTTTCCCTTTACACCAGAGCGTGTGTTGTGATTCCTAATGTACTCTCGGGAGTATTCAGTCAGTCTCTCTTCCCCAGGAAACAGTGCCTTCTCCCAGGGCAGGGTCTCGTCTGTGTCTGCAGCAGTCACACCGGGCCAGGCAGGTAGTAGGTGAGTGTAAATGTTTAATGAATGAATCGCTAAATGGGCGCTCCCACCAGTTAGGACATGATGGAGAGGAACTGGCTCCGCTGCTTGCTTCCAGCTGTGTGAGTTTGGGCAGGTCACACCCTCTCGTTGCCTTTGTTTTCTCATCTATAAAATGGCACCGCATCGGATAGCTATTAGCGACAGCCGTTTCTATTTATTTGAGGCTTACGATATGCCAGACGGCATGCTGTAAGCTTTATCATGCCGAGTGCTTTATATAAAACATCTCGTGTCGTGTGCATTAGAATTCACGCACGGGAGGCGCCAGCACAGTTCCTGACACACAGCAGGTACTTTCACGGCCAGAGAACGAGTCTGAGGGGAGAGGGATGTCGGAGATGATGTTTCTAGCCTCCTCACCTCCAGCCCATTTCATTGCTGGGGAGACGGAGCCCAGGGAAGGGAAGCAACTTGCCCAAATCCACCGATGAGGTGGCTTTCTGACTCCCAGGCCCGTGCTCCTTAGGTGGACAAGAGGGGGGTGCCTGCAGGGGCTGGAGGAAGGACCAGAGATGGGGTGAGGGGTTGCAGTGGTTTGAGGGGCAGAGAGCACTTTTCCTCCAGGGAGAACCCTCCCACACCATGTCTCCCTCAACCAGCGTTCTCTCGGGGCCCTCTCCCACCTGCCCAGGGCTGGGCACGGAGACCTGGGGGTACAGAGGGCCACTGACCTCGGGAGCTCACAGTGGGCAGGAGAGAGACATGTCAACAGTGAGTGGAATCAGGGGGCAGTGGGCACTCGGGAGGAGCAGGGAGGGTGCCCAGCCAGAGGGAAA